GCAAGTAATTTTAGAGCTTTTAGCTAAATATTTTAAATTCGAATTATCATGGTATAGTCCATTCATTATGACTTGGCAGTGTTTTATTACAAGAAGGCAATGAGGGACAATAAACTATTTGCTGAGTAGCTAAGTTATGGTTGCAGTTGTAAATACGAATTACCAAGATGTATTCAGGTAATATTTGCAAGAAATATAAAACGTAATATAAGAACGTTTCTTCTTATTTCTTTAATGAAATGATTAATTAAATACTTAAACAATAAAATGTAAATTTGTATTACACGTTTCATTATTGTATACATATAATATATTAATCATATTCGGAATCAGAATGTTCATTTACAACTATTTTGAAAGGAGTAATGGTATTACCTAAAGAAGTAATTAATAAATGCCAGAGGCGGATTAAATGTCGAGAGCGCTTATTTTCAATTTTCATAGTGCAATTTATAAACGATTAAAGGGATATTACCAACGTGTACAAATAATATTGAAAATTCATCATTTGCTTTTAAAAAGTTAGACCCTGCACCTTACGAATTAACCAGTAGTTAAACACTGCCAAATTCTAATGTATGAACAATACATTTGCACGAAATTGATGTGAGTACGCTCGTCTTCACAAAGATAAATATAAATATTACAGTGTGAGTCAAAATTTGTAAGCTACTAAATTCGATTTTAGTAAAATCTATTTAAACATATTTTGTACCTAAGAATCTAAGAAAATATTTATAATTTCATGACACTAAACATTGCTAATCTATTTAAATGTTTTTCATTTAGATAGTAATTCGCTGATGACTCTCGGTGAAACATATTCACTAAATAGTGGAAAACAAACACCTGAAGTAGTTTCACAATGTTCTTTTTTTAATAATTCTAAACTCTATGTACATTTCGCCTAGCTAGTACATCATTAGGAATATGAATGTAATATTGAAGTGTCTAACAATAATTTTGATTTAAAAAAAGTTATATTAAACTAGAATCTAAAAGGAGATTGGGACCGAATTGTATGTAGTTGGTCGTACTAATTTTTTGTTTTTATATACGGCATTTTGAATTTATAAAATTTCAAAGCGATCGGTTTTTTTTTTCCTCAGGTAGGTGGTTGTATAGTAATTTAATGTTTTTTTATTGCATGATTGATTGTTATTTATGAAGTAAATGTGAGGAGAGTCCGGAAGCACGTTTGTTGAAATTAACGTCGCGTTATGTTGATACAATTTCTCAATTACCTTACCGATACAAATGAATATTCAATTCACTGTAGAAATTGGTAATAACAGCTTAAATTACGTAATCCTTAATATTAGCATAGTCCAAACGTTTATTTTTTACTATTTAGAATGTTCTTCACTTTATTTTGAATATTTGTCCAATGTGAATATTTTTACGTTGTGTACTGTACACTACCACTTTTTATAGGATTTCTGATAGACTGAGAGTTATAAATAGAAATATTTGTTTAGGAATGCGGATAAAAAAAATGTTAGCTTTGTTTGGGAAAATAGTGCTATTTATTTTCCAATTAAATTTCCGTTATTAAGGATGACAAGAGTATAAAAATATAATGAATTAATAACAGTCAAAAAAACGCTTTATGATCCAAAACAGCGATTGTTTAAGAAAAATAATAATAAAAAATAAAACAAAGCAATTAATTTTTAGTCTTTAGTCTAAAGATTGAGAAAGTTTTTTCACTCATAGGTATCTAAATTCTGCAATTTATTTTTAAATAGCATTGTATTTTATTTTAATAGTCCTACAACCATTTCATTCTCTCCAAATGATATCCGTTTGCCTTCGTCATAATCTCTTTAATGGACTTTTTTATAATCCCATCATTCGGTTACCTTACCTGTGAAGTTTATCGTATGTTATTTGGCCAAGAAATAGTAGATTCTCAAATTTCTTGTTAAGAACAAATATTAAAATTCAAAAAATTAGTAATAGTCTATAACAATAGTTATAGTCTATAATAATAATATTAATTACATCTATTATACAA